ATCAGGGATGATATCCCATAATTTTTGATATGCTTTTGATATACTTATATATATATTGGAAGCGACCATAATTTTTCCATTTATCTTTTATATTTTTCTTAAGTTATTCTTACTTTTCCTGATTTTCAAAGCAGACATTTTGATCTTGGTCAAATCTAACCAAATTTCTACTTTGGTACATAACCCAAAATGTCGGCATGTTTTTCGGTTATTTTATTCTCTTGCGAATGGTTTTTTAAATTAAAAATGGATACTATATTTTATTTTTCAGGATACGGCGCAACTATTCAAGGGATTATCCACGGGGTATACTGGGGCCTTGGCATGGCTGTTGGCGGTGTACTCGGTGGATTTCTCGTTCACGTGCTCGGCGCGCGTGTGACTTTTAGGATTACCGCTGGCTGCTCGCTGGGAATTTTGGTACTTTTCTTCGCGTTGAACAATTTCTATCGCAGAAGAGATGATTACATGCCAATTTCGACAGAACCTGACCAAAAGACTAAGAAAGAGAGTGAGGAGAGTAAATAACACCACAGGAAACCCAAATATTATTATTATTATTATTATTATTATTGTTATTTTCGATTAAAAAAATTATCGGTAGTAATAATGATTATCAGGTTGAGATTTCTTAAAATTGATAATTTGATAATTGATAAATGAAACTCAAAGAGTTATTCTTCAATTGTGCGTTACGCGGCTTCTGTGGGGAACGTTGGTGTCTTTAATATACAGTCCTTTGACTAAACGTTGTCGTTGATCGGATCATCCCTACGCGCCTAGACCGAAAAGGATAACGGGTAAATTACCCAGAACTTGCGTCATCCAAACTGCTCGCCAGCGTTAAATCTTCGCCGTATGCTCGAGGCATGGTTTTAGCAAATTAAATGGGATCGAAAAAAGCGAGCTCAAGACGTGTTAGATAACATATGCGGCAGCTAGTAACTGTGAATTAATTATCCCCATGATCCTTTTCGGCCTAGGCGCGTAGGGTTGAAGCCGATCAAACGACAACGTTTAGTCAAAGGACTGTATTAAACAAAGTATTTCTTATTAGCATCCATTGTTAACAGCACCATAATGTTCGCCATGCGTTAGTCTTTAACTCTCTGGGGAATGCTTGCAACCTGTAAATTGACTGGGACCGAGAGAAACATCACTTGCTAGTTAGGGTTTACAATACAAAATGTTATCCCGAGGTTACAGTCAATAAGTGTTTGTTTATATACCAAGTGTCAAAGAAAAAGAAAAAGAAAAAAAAAAAAAAAAATTAGATAAACTTACGTTTCCGTGAAAATCACTTCCGGTATTGGTATTATATTCCCGGTCAACAACTGTGAGTCGTTGCCGGGGAAACATCGAAACCTGTTCAAGTTCACGTGATACCCTCTCGCCCAATCAGAGCACGAGAAAAATGGACTTCGACAGTTGGTATATAACAAAGACTTTTATTCCCAAGAAGGCTTGAAATCACGGGAAAAGCGTTACGCCCAAAGTTAAGGGATACTTGCCTAGACAATTTTAACTAGAGCAAAGATATGGGGGACTTTATTTTACAAATGGGGTTCACTTCAAAATAAATGCATTGGAATTTGGATTTTTTTAAAGTAAAGAGGGTATGAATTGTGTAAAATGCGATATTTCTTTTATTAATGAAATGTGATTAAATTGATAATTAACTAAAGAAAAGATCGTTTGGTTGCATTCAGCTTTATCAAAAAACTCTGCTGTCTTAGCCAAAATGCGATAGATAATAGAGCATGTTACGTCATAGCCGCCATGTTGGTTGACGATAACGAACCATTATTCCTCATTAGCTTCTCTTGTAAGATCAACCAGCATGGCGACTGTTTCATTGGTATCCTCTTATTTTAAGGGTGTATGTTACGTCAAAGCCGCCATGTTGGTTGACGATAATCAACACATCCCTCATTAGCTTCTCTTGTAAGATCAACTAACATGGCGGCTATTTCATTGGTATCCTCTTAGTCTAAGGGTGAATGTTACGTCATAGCCGCCATGTTGGTTGACGATAACGAACCATTATTCCTCATTAGCTTCTCTTATTAGATCAACCAACATGGCGGCTGTTTCATTGGTATCCTCTTATTCTTAGGGTGAATGTTACGTCATAGCCGCCATGTTGGTTGACTATACAAAGCATTCCTCATTAGCTTCTCTTATTAGATCAACCAACATGGTGGTTGTTTCATTGATATTCATATCTCAATGATTTTGAGTTACATGGTTGCACATACCGTATGCGCGTTAGGCGATTAGAGGGATATAGTTCATATAGAGACGAAATAGGTCATTCAAAGATCCAACACTAGCTGTCTAGATAGCCTCCTCCGCATGCATCTCTCTTCTCTCCTTTTAAGTATTGGGCTTCCTGTGTCTTTTTAGCTCCTAGTCTCTTTCGACAGTAATTCGATTTGGCGACACGGGAATCCCAATTCAACAAAAAAGAAAAGAAAGACGAAAGACGCCTGCGGAGGAGTCTACTGTCTGGAATGACTTGTTTTTGAGCTTCTTATTCTCGTCAAGAACAAATAATAATAATAGTGTTGAGATATTCAATGTTGTTTGTAGTTGATGAAACCATTTTCTTTTTGTTGTTGTTGTGCTCACGTATATGCCCATAATTCCTTTCCCTCTTGGAATGACCTATGGCCTATCTCCTTTCGCTGCGACAACCTTTTAGAAATAGGTGCCTAAATAGATCACAAATTGTCAAACGATTTATTGACTTATGAGGTCATAAAATCTCTTATTGAGTGTGACACTGGCCACGAAACAAAGCCGCTTGAACGCTTAATAGGTGACCGCTTTAAAGAGGTTGGTTGGTTAATAGAGGTACAATCGAGGACAAAAACTATTTCGGGAATTAAAATGGCGACTGCTCTCTCACAATACACCAAATCGAAATATTGCGACCAATTTGCATGAATAAGTATCTTTCTGAACTGAATAGTCTCGTGTTCACGTGGAAACATAAAAGCGTTTTCTCATGTATGAGAGGCTAGGCATTCAAGAACAAAAGTTATTTGAATTGGCCGCCATATTCAGTTCGATTCGGTGTATAGGTTGGACATTTAATTGTGGTTGACTGTGAATTAAAATAAAATGCTTTACGGTCAGATATATGTAGCAATGCATGTGTACATGTGTTTTTTTATTATTGTTATTTAACCATATATTTTCTCATCGTTTTATATCATTATTAATAATAATAATAATAATAATAATAACATTAATAACAATAATGATAATAATAAATAATAATAATAATAATGAAAATAATAATTTTAATTTTAATTTTGAAAATGTTCTATTAGGAAATAGTGAAGATGTTTTGGTCAATTTTTTGTTTGTTTTGTGGAAATATGTTGTGTATCAGTGTAGAAGCAAGCAAAAAATTCCAGTGTTAAATTATTTTCAAACAAGTTTAAGATATTATGAAAAATTAGAATATGAAGTAGCTAGAAAAAGGTCGAAATTGTTAGTGCATTTAAAAAAATATGAAAAGATTAGGGTAATTTTGTAAGTTGATTGGAATATCGAACGGATGAAATAGTGATATCTAAAATATAGTTCAAATAAATTAATTAAAAAATTAGTAGCATTGTAAATTAGACGACCCTCTGTAAAGAAAAAAAAAATTGTATTGTTTTCAAGTAAGAATTATAAATGTTGTAAAAAAAAAAAAAATAAATAATAATAATGATAATAATAATGATAGTATTATATTTCTTTTTTTTATTAATAATCTTTATTGATAATAAGAAATAAATATTTACAAGATCGTAATTTGTTAAGAACTTATCAAAGTGTAGATTAGTAAATATAATACTAATAATAATAAAAGAGAGTTTGTGCCACCAAATAGATTAATTAGTTATTAGGCATAAGATTAAAACAATTGTCACCAGCTTGCGATACCCAATTTAGAGGGGAGAGGTGGCTATACTTTTGGAGTAAAATCCTGAGTGATTTTGATCTCAAATATTTTTTTCAAACTAAAAGTCAAACCAGAAATGAATGTACTATCTATTTGCATGTATGCCAACCAACGTATCTGTGCATACAAATCAGTGTCACTATGAGTGTACCCAAGCATCGATCGACATCGAGCATCGAGCATCAAAATTAAAATTCAAAACGTTTCCGATCTTGATAAGTCTAGACTTCGATACGAAGTTTATTGGAAAGACAAATACAAAAAGCTTACGACAGTTCCGGACATCGTCTGAGAAGAAAAGAAGACATTGTCTAAGAGAGAGAGAGAAGGATATTTCACGGTATCTACCGCTTAAGACAATAAAATCTAGTCAATATTTATTTATTTATTTCAACAATATTTATACAGTGATGTCTCATTTAGCAAAACTAGTCAGAGAGCTCTGTATTTCTATTACAAAACAATATTATATGAGCTATTTATTCATCAATGAACATAGAGGTTTTTAATATTCAGTTTCTGGGGAAGCACAGGTGGGCGTTGAGCGTTAGCCTGTGTAGCCGGCCCTCTTTTGCCGCTACGAAGGCTAGTTGAGCGGTGGATCAAGTCTCACCAGGCTCGTTGTCGTATGTAAGTAGAGCTGTTTGTTGGTTCTCTCCTGTTTTTGGAGAGTTTTCCGGGTTCAAAAACCACAAAAATCAACTTCTACATTCCAATTGGAATTCAGTGGATGAAGAGCTACTCTGTGGAAATTCCACTTTATATTTTCTTTCTTTTTTCTTTTTGCTTCTCATTAGGTATTTGTGCGTATATACGTATAAATGTATACTACAGTGTTTCTGCAATCGAATTTGTATTTATTTTGGACCACTGTTTTGCCTACCTTCGTGTTTTACTGAAGACAGCCTGTTTAGAATAATAATTGTGAACTCCCTGTGGTTTTTGTAATATTTGCGCATACATCTGTCATACTTGACTGCCACTTTTGTCTCTCAGGAAACGACTTAACTCCAAATCTTTTAGTATTCAAATTTACGCCATTTGTCTGTGACAATGAGGAATATATATTCATAGGTTTAGACATGCCTTGAAATACTCCAAGCATCGCCAAAGAAAAGCTTTAAAAGCGATGGAACTGATAAATGTGGACAGTGGACATTTCCTTGAAGTTTTCCAAGCATGATTCCAAGTTCTTACAAACCAATTGAGAGCGATAGCCCGCCAAGAACTTCTGAAAACACTACTAGTCGTGCTCATGATCAACAGAGCGTTCATAAAAGACTACTAGGGAAGGTTAAAGAGATAGATAGAAGTTTTGTAGTTTCGAAGCTATTTTACTTCTTCTTTTACACTGCTCTAGGTGCGCTATTTCCATTCTTCAGCCTGTACTACAAGCAACTATGGCTTACTCCAAGTCAGATTGGTATTTTGCTGGCTCTTCGTCCAACTGTAAAGCTAATTTGTTTACCACTTTGGAAAATTATCACCGAAAAATACAGCAGGCCTAAAGCTGTGTACTTTATTTCAATTTTTGGATGGTTAATTGGATATTATGGACAAACTCTGGTCTACACCTCTGATACACCATGCTATGGCATCAATGTTAACCAAACAGCTTTCTCTACGCCTTTTGCTAGTGTTAATTCAACGAACTTATCCGACCATTTGAATGCATCTTTGATTAAGAAGCGAGAATGGGAGTTAAGAAACACAGAGCTGCAATCACAACCTGAACATTATCTAAATGAGAACAGAGTTCGCAGATCTGTATATGATGAGATAATTGTTGATGAAATTGGAAATGTTCCTTTCAAGAGGAGAATAAGTAAAGAATCACGAAGAATTGTTGGGTCCCCAGAGGAGTCACAAGTGAATGATCAAGCGACGCCTAGAAATATTTTGTACACAGATAAAAATATTCTTAGGACAAATAAGTTGAGTGATAACACAAGACATGATTATACAAGGAAAATTAAAGCAAATGGCTTGGACAAGGAGGACTTGAGACAGGAAGGCCATGGATCAATTGAAAATGAAAACTTTGTTGAAAAGGATTCCTATAAACATTCTAATCTAGAAACAACAGGAATAGTTGCCCCTGGGTTGAACAATGAGGACAAAAACAAAGATATCAGCTCAAATAAATTCGTTAAAGAGGAAAAGATTGATCAACAAAGTGCATTTCTGAAGGAGGACATTAACGATGATAATTCACAGCCACTAATTGAATTAATTTCAAAACAAAAGCATCTCGGGGCATTTCAAAACGGAAACATTTCTAAGAGTCCAAAACCAGCTGATGACTTTAGAGTACGATATAACTTTTGGATTCTAAGAACTCTAATTGTGATAGTCATTCTAACAGAGATTATTACGTCACCAACGCCCATGATAGCAGACAGCGCGGTCATCCAGTCACTTGCAGGATCAAACAGTGACTATGGAAGGCAGAGACTGTTTGGATTCTTTGGATTGGGACTCGCTGCGATTTTGGTTGCTGTATGGGTGTCATATTCTTCATTCTGTCATTACACAAACACTATAAATTATCTTCCCTGCTTTTACATCTTCCTTATTGCTATTGGTGCCACAGTGTTTGTAAGTCTGTTCTTTGACTTCCAGTCAGCCGAGACCAATGGCAATGAAGTCAAACTTCTGGAGACTCTAAAGATATTCAAGTTACCGCGCTATGGGTTTTTTCTCTTTACGATTTTCTTCACTGGATTTGCTCACAGTCTCCAAATTTCTTTTCTATTTTGGTTTCTGCAAGACATCGGTGGAACACCAACCTTATTTGCTATCATTATTCTAATACATAGTGTATCAGAAGTTGTGATGTATTTTCTGGCACCTTACCTTGATAAAGGTGTAGGACATCAAGGAACAATCTGCATCGCTCTTGCATGCTACACGGCGCGTTTTCTGATGTATGGATCTCTGAAGCATCCATGGCTCATTCTACCGATGGAGATGGTCCAGGGACTGACTTATGGAGGTTTGTGGTCCGTCTCTGCTGTGTATATCCAAGCCCCTGAAGGTTAGTATCAGTGTCTTTAATTTGTTACAATTCAGACTAGTAGCATAACTTGACAATTTCTTCAATTTGTATTAAAGGAAGGGCAATGTGCAAATTTCTTGTGCTCATTTCAGACCACAAAACTATTCCCTTGAGTATTGTATAAGCAGTACTCCCATTCAGCTTGAATCAATCTTGTCCCATTTAAGATCACATGACTATTCTCTTGATTATTGTAAAAACAATTAATAGATCCATTCAGCTTGGCTCAATGTTGTCTCATTTCAGACCACATGACCATTCCCTTGAGTATTGTATAAGCAATAGACCCATTCAGCTTGGCTTATTGTTGTCCCATTTTAGACAATGCGACCATTCCCTTGAGCATTAAAAAAATATGGGCCACAATGCATGTGCACTGAAAATATTTTTTTTATTTAACAGAAGCTACCAAGATGATCCAAAGTATTCTGCACGGAGTGTACTGGGGCGTTGGCATGGCAACAGGGGCGCTCGTCAGTGGTTTTGTCATCGAAGCGTATGGCGTGCAAAACGAATTTCTCGTAATGTCTCTTTTGATGGCCATCATTTGTATAGTGCATCTATTTATTCTATTATTTGACCGAATTCAGGTAAGTAAAATGCTTGAAAAGATAAGACAGATCCAGGTTTAATAGGACGTTTGCATGATGACGTCATTTGACTCCCACTACGAACATTCTTTATTTAGCACCATAGACAAATTATAGATATACATTGAATATTTGTAACAAATTAAAACATTTACAGATGTATGTGACACTAGAGAAAAACGTTTGGGCATGCGTGCATTTCAGCACGTTTTCTAAGAATTTTAAAGAGTTTGAGTGAGAAAATAAATGTTTGTTTTCTCCAAGTATAAGAAAAAGTTCGAGAGTATACTTTTGTTAGACCAAGATACTGTATTAACAAACACATTATGAAAGAATTAGTCTTAACTTTCAAGCATGGACACTAAGTTTTGGCATTTTGTGAAGTCCAATTTATCAGGCATGTTTGAAAGTCAAATTTACTTATGTTTTTACTAATTTGCATACTGATTCAGAGCATGCGCAGACGTTTTTCACTCGTGTCGATGCATGCTATATACAGTAACCAAAAAGACTAGCCCAGGTAAATAGGTAACTAACATGATAATGCTTCGCAAATTTTCTTTCTTCTTTAAATTTGTATTCCCTCATGGGAATAGTAAGACAATTGGTGCTAATTAACTGAACAAAAGAAAGTGTGCAAGGGCGTCTGGTAGTAGAGGTTACACGTTCATTCAAGTGACAATTGAATTGAGCATTATATATACAATAAACCAAGTGACTGAAGTAATTATAATCACGTGCACTAAAACTATTAACTCATGCAACAGACTAGTCCGGGATGGTTAGTATTATGGTAATAGTATGTTCATGTGTTGACTATAGATTATACAAGTCTGATTCATGATTCATTATAACCCATCATATATGCTAAATCACAGATTTTCCACACTGAGTSACGTTTAAATTCTAGCTTATTTTATTTATTCATTCATTTATTTTTATTTGCTTATTTTATTTGAGAATTGAAGATAAATTTAAATTTTTGATCTTTCATTTATCGAATTCTCAATTAACCCTTACAGGAAATGGAAGAGTCTCTCCAACGCAAACGCGATTCTGGACTAGACAAGCTACAATCTGAGAAGAAAGAGCCTGACAATTTCATAGGGGCAGCGGCTGCTCCATTAGTGCCATGCCTCTTGTATGGCAGATAAACTTTGAACCATGAATTGTTTTCACTGCTGTGGTTCTTCCTGCAGTCACACTGAAGCAAATAGATTAGGTCTGGAGGTCATAAACATTAAGTTGACATAAAAAAGTACGTTTATTTTTGAGAATATTTTTGATACCCCTTGAAGCACATTGAAATGCAGCTCAATCTGGGGATAAAGCAATAGGTTCCAATTCTCTGGAGATTGGAATTCTTTTGTATTGTCCCCCAGATCGAGCTGCTTTGACGTCACATGCAAGGGGTCAATGGTGGTTAAATGGATCAAAATTAACTAAGGGATGTACTTCATGTATACGCGCCAACAAATATAATTCAGAAGAGGTTAAATTTACTATATTTATAATAAATAATCTATAATCTTCCTTGTAAGTCTAACTTTTGTATTAAACACATCTGGCTTTATATCTTTAGTCATTATTTTATAAGAAAAGAAAAAAACAAGATGAGAAAACAAAAAATAGCAAAAACACTTAAAGCAAGACCTGAAATAACCTTACAAAACTGATAAAGAAAACACCCTTTAATTAGGATAAAAAGAAGAAAGAATAAGAAAAAAGGAAGGAAAAGATAAAAGGAATAGAATAGATTATGGAGTTAACTGCTAGCTGGGGGGGAAGGGGGGGGGGGGGGGGCGTTTGAGGAAAACGGAACATTTTACCCAAAATATTTGGCTTTGACCTTTATTCGGCGACCAGTGATAGTCCAAAAAGGATTTCCCTTCCATAACTAGACTTTGCTTCATAAAAAGATGTATCAATTGGCGATGTCACGTGACTTAATGGGGACAGCCGAATGGTTTTCTATGCCCTATAATCCGCAGAATCAATTTTATCAAAATGTCTGGTAAATAATGTTCCACCTTGTTCTACCTTTTTTTTAAAAGAAAGAATAGTAGAGAGAGTCAAGTTTGTGTAAAGGAAGTAGAATATGGATGGAAAGGGCTCGAAGTTTCTTTTTCTTTCTTTCTTTCTTTCTTTCTTTCTTTCTTTCTTTCTTTCTTTCTTTCTTTCTTTTTTGTTGTTGTTGTTGTTTTTGTATGGAACAAATGAGTTTATAATAAAGAGGAGGAAAGTTTGCAAATGCGCAGAGTGTAAATAGTCATTACGAATTCCTTTGCTTTCTATTCGGTTTAATAGAAGCGGTTCTATATTCCGGCCACGTTATCTCGATTCTCTCAGCCCAAACGAATTAGCCAATCAGCAAACATTTTCCTTACCTCAATATATTTCCTTGTTATAAAGTGTCAGCTCGATAAACACCTGTATCGCGATCCTACTTTAAGTTTGATCGAGAGAGAGCCACCAATATAGACCCGTATTGTCGGCTCAGAATTACCGCGCGTGATTGGCTCATGAGATTTGATTGACGGCGAAAACAGCACTTTTTTGGTACCTCAGTCTGGTTTGTGAATGCAACGGTTCACATTGGAATCTCAACATCGATGGCGGAAAATTTATTTCTTACATGTTTTACATCCTTTTTTTACAACTTTGATCTTCATAACTTATTTCCTGACTTGTGATACACAAGGATAAGAACATGATATGCTGTTCCTACGCTTTCTGCTACAGGTGAGTGAAAAACAACGCCAAATATTTGTTTTCATTCAATCTAAACTTTCGAAGAAAACTCGACTTTTAGAAGTTATTTCATGACAAAAATAGTTGTAAAATCAAATAAATTCTCTTAACTATTTGTTTTACAAAGCAGAGTAATGAAATTAATTCTAGTGTTAAAAGTACAATCAAAACAGGTAAAACTTACAAAAAATCTTTTTTTTTGCGAAAACTCAAAAATGTGCTCGGCAATTTTCCAGAAACCGTTGCTAGGGTGACCACTGTTAGGTAGTGAGAACTTCAAACGAATCAGGCTTTTTAATCGCTTTTTTCTTTATTTTAAGATTTAAGAATAGGAGGATCGCGATACAAAACTTATTGCGATTTTGAGCCGACAATACGGGTTTATATTGGCGGCGTTGGAAGAAAATATATTCCGTATTGGCCTTCGTCGACTACGACCAATACGGAATATATTTTCTCCCAACTAGCCGCCAATATAAACCCGTATTGTCGGCTCAAAATCGCAATAAGTTATAAAAACAGCATCTACGGAACTCCAAAAGTAGAAAATAAAGCTTATCTGCGACAAGATCCAACACATATATAGAGAGAGAGAATAAGAGAAAAATATCAAATGCCCTTGGCAGGATTCATATTCATATTCATATTCATATTTCATATTCTGGCTGCGTTACCAGCGTGGTTGGTCCTTGTAGTGTAGTGTTTAACACATCGGACTAGAATACCGAAGACGTGGGTTTGGATCCTGCCAAGGGCATTTAATATTTTTCTCTTATTCTCTCTACTTCATTATATACACACCGAACGCATAATTTATTACTACATATTATATAGAGGATTTGCACCATCACGTGCCCATCCCATAATACAACTTGGGCAGCCTGTGGTTAGATGGCAGAACAATAAAATTCCTTTGCTCTCGGGGATTAAAGATTCTTTCTCATGTAAAACGATTGTATTGTTCCTGCTATCTAACGTGGCTGCCGTCACGCGGTGGTTCAAAACCTCTTTATTAGAAATAGTCAAGAGAATATGAACTAAGAGAAGGAATCCTACCTATATAGCCTTGTAACCATCATGTGCACCGTTTGATGCTATTTTTAGCTTGGAGATATTTTGAGCGAAGAACCTGATTGGTTGATTTCTTGAGGGTAGGCGGATTCCAGTCTTGAAATAAACAAAGCCTGTGTTTTTGTCGTTGACGTAGCGAAATATGGCGCTTTTCGTGTCCTAAGACGAGGCATTAAAGGAAGCATGATTATCGCGCGGGCATGGTAACGAGTTAAAAATAGCATCAATGAT